ATAATTTTGCTAATTTGTTTTACATGTGTGCTTTGGGGTGATAGGAGACAACCTTTCCCCCCCCCCTCCATAAGCAAGCATGTTTAGCAGCATTGCAAAGCAAAGGATGTATTGCATAAAAGGCCACAATTCCTTTTAATGGAACCTATCATGCTAACAGTTTTGAAGATTAAAGTTGTTAATTTCAGCCTTGAAACACGATCAACATAGTGTAAGAATTTAACAAGGGGAGGGGAAGTGTACTCACCAAAGGTGACATAGATCCATTTGGCAGGTAAGGATCAGACAGCATGAGGAAAGGGTATCCAGAATAAGGAGATCCTTTATACATCCCTGGGTCCTGATGTTTTAAACCTGTCAAAATTCAAAGTCTTTGGTTAGGATTTCATCTCAGAACCAATCTCCCCTCCAGTCCACATGCATTTGTTGCACTGTTTGTTCTGGCTAGCATCTGTGAGCTCCACCTGACATTCAACTCCCCATTGCTGCCACGCATGAGCTTCAGTCTGCAACTTATCTGGTGGTAAAAGATAAGGCAGGAATGAAAGGACCACCACCTCCCAGGATGAAAGCAGTGGGCGCATGGGCTCATTTCTCCACCTTGGTTAAACTGGTGCTCTTGGTTAATGAGGAATGGGATGCATTCCGTCCCAGGTATTTCTACCTGCTTCCTTACCTCTTCCCCAAACTTCCAGGGAGGTGGGGTGTTTCACCCCCTGCAAGGAGCTCACTGTGCCAACAGTACCCAGACCAACTTTACCTCCGTGATGCAATAGTCAATTGTGGGGAGGAAAAATAGGCTGTGTTGGGGAGTGTGCGTGCGTGTGTGTGCATGCAAAAGAGGTGTAGTGGGGATGACAGCCTTCGGAGAAGCACCTTTCTGTTAAGTTTCAGCCGCCTGCACCCGGCAGCCCCGCGGGTCAAGGGGCTTTCACGAGCGGTGCGGAGTCCCTCTCCGGCGCGAGCGCGAAGCGTTTTGCCCGCTTTGATTTAGCAGCGAGGCATTGACGTCTCCCCCGCGGAGCACGGGGGCTGTCAAACCTTCCCCCTTCTCTCCCCTCCCCTCGGCGGTCATGCTCCCTCCCTCGAGGCACGGAGGGGTGAGAGGAAAAGGTGGGCGGCGGGGAGAGGAGGCGAGGAGGAGGAGGAGGAGAAGAAGAAGAAGAAGAGCGGATGGCTTCCCCCCCCCCCTCGTCGAAACTGACCATCGTCCATGTGATCCGGGAGTTTCTCTGGATAGACCCTCTGGGGCTCTTGCAGCCGCCGGATTGCCTGCAAAAGGCGAGGAGAGAGAAAGGGATGAAGGTCGATTATTATTGTTAATATTAATATTATGTAAAGTTTGGCAGAAGAGGAGAAAGTGATCTGGGCGGGCGGGGTTCGCTCTCACCTCGGGATGGGCTCCTGCGGCGGCGGCGGCTCCGGCCACGGTTGTTGCTGAGTTGGACGCCTGACGGTTGCTGCTGCCGCTGCCGCCGCCGCCACCGCTTTCCGACTCATTCACCAGGGATGATTTGAGGTCAGCCAGGTCCCCCTCGGTGAAGACGTTGGCCTGGGTCTTCTCCTCTTGCTCGCCTTCGTCCTTAAAGGCGATCATCTCGTCGTTGGCTCCCAAGTCATCGCCTCCGCCGCTGAGTTGGGGCATTTTCTTCCCGAGCCAAGCCAGGGGGAAGAGCGAAGTTTGGGCGCCTTGAAGGAGAGCGGCGCACTCCGGTTTCCTTCTTTCTTTCCAAACGTTTGGCGACCCCCCCTTGAGCGGTACCCTGGCACTCCGACTCGCGTCGGGGCGCTAGCCCAGACTAGAGGGGGGGGGGGACTAGGCTCCAAGGCAGAAAAAGCAACCGGAGGGGTCGAGGCAGCGACCAACCGCTTCCCCCCCCGCCCCCTCCGCGGTCTCGGGTGCCCCTCCCTCCCCAGCCCCGGGAAAGTTTGATTAAGTAGCAGCCGGCCGGCCGGCCAGCCAGCTAAATAGCTTAGCTTGGATGAGAAAGCTGGAGGAGGAGGAGCGCCGGCGGCTTTCGCTGGGAAGGAAAAGAAGAAGAAAAAAAATCACCACCACCCCGAGCAGCAGCCGAGCTCAGCGCTGTTAAAGTGCGCGACTCTGGAAGAACACTGGAGAGCCCTAGCCAAAGACTTTCAACATCAAAGCCGCCGCCGGCTGATTGACAGCGGCGGGGAGGGATTGGAAGACTCTGTTCTCCCGCGACGCGCTTTAGCCTTAAAGAGACAGCGCCCGTCTCCTCCCGCACGGCTGCAGGGGATGCTGGCGACGGGCAATTGAGAACCGGCGCTCTCCCCTCCGCGGGACGAAGGGCGGCAGCCGTTCTCCAAACCTTGGCAGGGCCGCGGAATACAATCTCGGCGAGGCAGAAGAAAGGGAGCGAGCTTTCCCTCTTCCTGACCCCAAAGTTGGTCCCATCCGAGGGATTGGCGCGCGTACACGTGTTGGTGCGCAAGTTAATACGCAGACGCCGCTGACCTGTGCGCAGTCAGCGCAGGAGAAGGAGAGCCGCGGCACGAGCGAACAATGGGGGCTTGGCTCCGGGCTGCTCCCTTCTACTGCACCCCCACCCCACCCTTCCCGACCTGGTTGCCTCCAGGTGGCTCGGACAGCTCGCAGAATTCCCAGTCAGCTCGTCTAACCAGAGGCCAGGGTGACTGGGGATTATGGGAGATGTCGTCCAACACCCCGGGAAGGAAAGCAAGTTGGGAAAAGCCTGTTTTAATGCAGCAGCATTAATCTTTGGGCAATTGACTTAGAGGAGGAGACGGTGGTGTTTTTAAAACAAATATTATTAATACTCTGTACTCATCTTAATATTCACTTAAAAAAAAGTTCAACATTTCGGAATATACCCTGTTGGGTTTTTGGAACCATTCCTACATAAAACTCACAATCTGTCCGCCTGTCTGTCTGCTTGTTTCTCCCGCTCTCCATGAGATCACAGTGGGGTTTCTTTCTGAGTAAAGGATATTGATTGCTGTTAAGGGTCTGATGATTCCATAGCCATTTATTTGGAAATCATCTAAGGGGAATGGAACCAGGAATGGGTTCACATGTCAAAGCAAACCCTGATTTGTTTAACCATTGTTACATAAAACATTATTATTAATCTAGTTGACTAGATTAATGCAACATGCATAATAAACAAATAAACAAACAACTATGTTAGGGCTCCAATTAACCACACTATTTCCTAGTAAATTCACATGACTTATAACTATTTTTATATTACTCTGTTATACTAGGTGAAATAAAATCAGGTCTTTCTGACATCCCGTCACCCAAAATTGCAGCGCTGCTGTTTACAGCTGTTGTTCTATCTAGCGAGACATGCCTGTCTTCCCCACAGATCCTAGACACAATTTTTTTAATTTTAATGGCACCAACTTTTAAATAAGCAAGGGTTAGATTACAGCTTTAATTGCCCTTATTTTATTGTATTTTATTTTCTTAATGAATGGGCAGAACTATTTTTTAAATTAAACTTGGGGTTTAGACTAAACCCAAACTAGTCAAACAACATGAAGCATCAGCAGTGGGTTGGTTTTTTATTATTATTAATAAAGACTCAGCTTTTCCAGCTATGCCTGCAACTCAAGCCACATTTTTTGGTACATTGAACCAATGGGAGGGACTTCTGAATAAATCAAGTGTAGGTTCTCTTTTTGATATTTACCCCCTGCCGGTTATCCTCCTTTTTGGTCTCATTGGCTGCAAAGAAGCTCAACTCACCTGGGTCCAAGAATGCCCATTTATATTTGGGGGTGAGGCTGTTTTGCGCTATGAATGGGCAAAGCCCTTCTCTCGCTTTTTATGCCTGTCAACTGGTCATAAAGTGCTAAAAGCATTTATCTGTGTCTGGTGGGGTTTCCAGGTTCCCGAAACCCCTACCCCCCCCTCCTGTAAAAAAAAAATCAGGGAACTCCTCTATTTTCTTTTTTCTTTTCTCAATTTCTCCTCCTCTGGTATTGGTGATCCCTCCTGGAATAAAGATATGTAACACTGGATCTCAGATAATGATTACTTTTCCTAACATGCCCCGAGGATAAGGAAACATGAAATTAGCAACTTTTCAGCCGGTTTTCAAACCACTTAAAGTCGTCCAGAGGCGGGGTGGGGAGTGAACTTGGGCGACACATTTTTCATTTGGGGTCCTCCTCAAAGTCCCTGTTACTCACAAGACAGTTCTGAGACGATATTTCCCAACCTGGCGCTCACAATTCTTGTACGCAAAAGTTAATGAATAGTAAAAACAAAAACAAAAAAAACCACCACCCTCCGATGAGACTCCCGCTCCTTTTCATAGCGGGACAGCTGCGGGTCTTTGCAAACCTTTCATCTGGTCGGGGATTTCAACAATTCCACGTAAAGAGGTCTTCATACTCTCCGCATGGCACATAATTGTTACTTTCAACACCTCAATTATCTCCAGCGCTTCCTTTGCTTAAAGGTCGTGTTCTGCTATTGAAAAGATTTATTTTTCGGCAGCTCAAAAGCAAAACGCACCCTGCCACTAAAAAAAGGAGAAGAAACAACCTTTCCAGCAGATGCGTGACTTCTCAGTGCGCGCTTAGACCCCTATCTTCAAAATCTCCCTCTATCTCTCAGTCTCTGTCTCTCTCTCTGTCTGTCTGTCTGTCTCTCTCTCTCAGGATGGCAGAGACTCCTCCATCTCCCAGGCACTGACACCCCCCCGAAAGACCGAAAACAGTCATACGGAGCTTTCCTGGATCTCCCCCCACCCCGCCGCTCTCAAAAGGTCCGAAGTACCTCCTGAAACCAACCCTCTCTAGATTAAACATCAGCCCGGGTCGCTCCTTGCTTTTCTGCCCCGGTTCTGCTTCTAAGCAAAACGCGAAGAGCGCGAGGAGGGAGGAAAAAACATGAAGCAGATTTGTGGCTCCCAGTTTTTCGTTTCTTTCTTTCTCTCTCCCCCCCCACCTCGTGTTTTGAGACTCTCTCGTTTTGCATGTGAAAGGCAGCGAGCGAGCGAAATAGCCTGCGATTTACAGCCCTCCCAAATGGAGATAAAACCTTGGCAATGAGTTGGAAACCTGTTGTAATCTGTGATCCAGGAAACAAAGAGGCTTATTAATGCAGAGTCTTTGGTGAGCCTTTGATGTTAGCTAGCATAGCATTCACTCTCCTTTCCATTTGCATTTAAACATTCATAAACATCGTTTCTGCTTCCTTTGCCTTAAGCAATTTAGAAGTAAAGTATAGCTTCTATTTAAAGAAACCCACAGTGGTGAAGCTGAGAATACAAATATCACATAATCTTCCAACAGAGCAAATATTTTCTCCTGCATTTCTGATGGACAGAGATCTAATACAGACCCGAGATTTAAAGGGACACAGATGGTTAACTCAAGTTTAAGAGGAGGGAAAAAGAAAGAGGTCTGGATAACCTTTTTTAAGGTGAACTTCATATATTAGCCGATTTTGCTGCATGTGGAAATTTTACAGTTAAATCCCTAAGCAGAGCAGTCATAATTAATCCACAGTCCTCTTGTTCCCCCTTTTATTTCTTCCATTGAAAGGTCTTGAATTACAGAATATTTGTGCTGACTCATGATTCAGGAAAAAGAGACTGGCTGACCATCTACAATGAAAATAATAATAAAAACTTTAATTTCCAATTCACCTGGACGAGGCCAGCAGGTTGAAATGCTGTACTATAGCCAACACATGTTGAGATAAGTGACAGAAGACGCCTGGAAGTTGCATAAAAAGACATCTGCTGGGATGGGTATCACTTGGAGGAAGAGATATGGTCCATAAATACCACAATGCTGGGTTCTTGCACAAGTTGTTGCCTATATATTTTGGAAGATCTGCAGTTATATCACAACCCTGTACTGCTTCATATAGAAAAAAAAACCCCTACCAAATTCAAGAGGATTTATATTTAAATATGTGTGGTTTACAGAAGAGTAAGGCCTTTGCTTTTAGCCATAATGCAGCCTGAATAAACATGCAGGGATTTGTATTGCCTGTTATTATTGTTTCTAATTGTTGAGCTATAGTCTGCTATATCAAGAAACTTGGCAGCCTTTTTGGCAAATCACAATGGAATAGAACACTGTAGAAGGAAGGCTGTCATTATTATTATCTTGGAACCTGAATTCTACATCTGAGAGGTTTTTTTTAAAATGTAACCTCATAACTGAGGATCAACCAAGGTAAAGAATCTAGTACATATTAATTCCTTGCCAGTCTCAAAAAGGTAAGTTCAACTGCAGTGGGTTAGAATTTTGAAGAATGACCACCAGGAAATTTGAGGCTGTGATTGAGAGGAAGAGGAATAAATAAATAGATGGAAAATTAAATTGACAAACATAAATATTCCAGAAACAGGTGAGAGCAACTTGATTCTGTACTGGTGGCAAGAAAATAACAAACATACCAGGAGTTCCTTTATTTACATGGGAGACTTTTTAAAGCTATTCTTTTTTTCAATGCACTATGCAGTGATGAGTGCAAGAAATGTACCATTATCTCTGGTAGTAATGTTGCATTTCTAAAAGCAATCTTTTCATATAATATATGAATGCATCATGTAGGAGTGTGAATAGTGAGAGTAAAATTAGTGTAAACAAAGTGATCCAACAAACTTTCTACAACGGTATCCTGTTTCCCTGAAAATTAGACATCCGCAGATAATAAGCCCAGGCAGGCTTTTGAGCGCATGCGCTAAAATAAGCCCTACCCTGAAAATAAGCCCTCCCCAAAAATATTGCAACACAGCAGAAGCCCTGAGGTGACCATGCTTGCCACCTCCTGCATCTCAA